AAAAAAAACAATCACTACTTTACATCTGCTTCACCTTCCCACACACCTTTCCACACCTGGCCAAAACTGCCCTGGACAAACAAGTAGCATAACACCCCTCCAGCACAAGCTAAGAAAAAAACCCACAGGAGAACAAATTCAGACCTACCTCTTCCTGTCCCAGAAGCTATGGAGAACTAGACTCGAGGCCACACCACGCCACATCACAGGAGGATGCCTGACCAAAGAAATTTAAAAAGTAATTAGACTTAGTACAGTGGACCCTCGACTTACAGACGGCTCGACTTACAGACTTTTCAAGTTACAGACTTCTCTGGCTGCAAAATTTAGATTCGACTTGCAGCCAGAGAATCGACTTACAGACCAGAAAAAAACCAAAATGGAATAAAAACAGAATAAAAACCACTGGTTATGGGATTAATCGGTTTTCAGTGCATTGTAAGTCAATGGAGATTCGACGTACAGACTTTTCGACTTGCAGCCACCATTCCAATACGGATTAATTCCTTAAGTAGAAGGTCCACTGTATAACTGTACCCCCCAGCACAAGCTAAGGAAAAAAAACCCACAGGAGAACAAATTCAGACCTACCTCTTCCTGTCCCTGAAGCGGCAAACCCCACTGCAGGCCGCACCACGCCACACCACAGGAGGATGCCTGACCAAAGAAATTTAGAAAGAAATTAGACTTAGCATAACTACACCCCCCAGCACAAGCTAAGGAAAAAAACCCACAGGAGAACAAATTCAGACCTACCTCTTCCTGTCCCTGAAGCAGCAAACTCCACTGCAGGCCACACCACACCACAGGAGGATGCCTGACCAAAGAAATTTTGAAAGAAATTAGACTTAGCATAACTACACCCCCCAGCACAAGCTAAGGAAAAAAAAACCACAGGAGAACAAATTCAGACCTACCTCTTCCTGTCCCTAAATCCCAAATTTTAAAAGGCATGCACAAATAAAACCCCTGCAATTTAACCAAAAATAAGAAAATAAAAATACAGTACAGTAAAAAATTTTAAACTTTTAAAAGGCATGCACAAAAAATCCTGCAATTTAAACAAAAAATAAAAAAATAAAAATACCTGTAAGACTTGTGCAATAAAACCCAGCACCCACACAAGAGAACAAATGTAAACTTACCTTCTGCTATTCAAATTCGCCAGAAGAAACCAAAGTTGCTCCAAATGAAGTCAGTCAGCCCTGGAACTCCACGTGCAAAAGTAAAGCCAGGATGCATTGGGGAAGGGTTTTTAAACCTTCCCTGCACAAGGCACAATGCATCCTGGGTATTGACTGTTTAAATTTGAAAGAAAGCAGCAACAGGGAAAAACAACGATGCATCCTGGGTATTGACAGTTTAAATTAGAAAGATAATAGCAACAGGGAAAAACACCAATGCATCCTGGGCATTGACAGTTTAAATTAGAAAGAAAACAGCAACAGGGAAAAACACCCTGGAGCAGGAGGGTAATCAAACTGTGAAGAAGCATTGCGAAACAGCGACCGTTAAAAAGCCATTCAAGCGAAGCACAACCCCCGGGCTGTCAAAATCATCGCAAAGCGAAACGGGGACCGAAAACCTAATCGTTATGCGAAGCATGGTCCCGAAATCGCTAAGCGAAAATTGCCCATAGGAAACATTGCTAAACAGAGCGCAAAAACGCTCCGAAAAAGTCATCGCTAAGCAAATTCGTTGTTAAACGAAGCGCTCGTTAAGCGAGGCACCACTGTACCTATTTAAAAAGAGGGACACGTCAAAATGCATGGGGTTCACTCCCAGTTTGTGTTATTAAATGCTGTCAAGTAAACCTTTGAGTTACGGTGACCCCATGAATAAGCAATCTCAAAAATGTTCTGTCTTCAACAGGCTTGGCTCAACTCTTGAAAACTCAAGACTGTGGCTTCCTTTATGGAGTCAGTCTAACTTGTATGTGGTCTTCCTCTTTTCCTCCTGCCTTCAATCTTTCCCAGCATTATTGTCTTTTCCAGAGAATCCTGTCTTCTCATGATGTCCCCCAAAGAGGACAATCTGAGTTTGAACATTTTTGCCTCCAGAGATATTTCAGGCTTGATTTGCTCTAGGAACCACTTGTTAATTTTTCTGGCAGTCCAATGTATCTTCAGAGCTCTCCTCCAGCACCACATTGCAAATGAATCAATTTTCCTGTAAGTTTTCTTAACTATACACATAAAGACAATATAAGAATCCCTGGAAGAAAACACTGTACTCACTGAAGAGGAAGGTCCCCAGCTGACAAAGAGTAACAATTCAACCATCTATACTATATACTATAAACAACAAGCAATTCAACCAATATGTAAGGTGTCATCATCTACAAAGAAAACGGACAAGTCAGCAAGACATTTGGACTTGAGTGCTTCCGAGACTTGAATTAACTCAACTTATAAAACCTCCATTTGAGCCTATGACTACAGTTGATCTGAGTCTCCTAATATAATATAAATATAATATTTCTCATAGGAAAGCAAATTATGAGCTTCGTGTTACAATAAGCCTTATTTACAATTTTATAAAGATAAGGTAACATTGTTTATGGACACATCATTCTTACTTGAGGATACCTTTGTATTTTTATACAAGTGAACCATTGGTTCTTCCAACTTTTTTTCTCTTACCACCACTTCATATGGAGAGGGCTCTACCTTAGATGTTAGCTGTATCCTGGTTTTATGTGTGGACAGTAAATAGACTATTTGTTTATTAACATGGGAACAAAAATGGGGAGCAGGTATACTCACAAAGACTCTCTAAGTGGCTAGTGAAGGCAGTCTTACTGCCATACAAACTGGCTCAATGTCTCTTACCAATTCCTTTGACGGGACGCTGTATACGAGTTATAGCAGCATCAGAAATTTTTTTTGAAAGAGGTTCACTGTAGGACAGTGACATGCTCTCAGCCTATGACCTTTGTCAACCATTACAGACTAGATGTATGATCTAAACTGGAGGCATCATTTGGTCTTGCAGTGTTATCTTTTATATGTACATAACTTCCCACCAACTGGTAAGTGAGCTTGGAAGTCACTCATGTGTGTACCGTATTTTTTGCCTGCCACCCCCCGCGCCCCCCCACCCCGGGGGTGTATTGTGACAGGGTTCATCAAGTCCAAGCATTCCTATATTCATCGGTTGGCGATGTGTGAGGGAAACTTGTTTGGGGTAATATCATTAGTTCAGAGAGTTGCAGGCTCTTGTTTGGAAGCTTCTGATTTGCCATTTCTTGGATAATCTCATCAGATTTGGTACCCAGAATGCTCCATAGGGTTCCTTCCTGGTCTACCATTCTATTATTACTGTACCTTTTTAATTATTTGCTGTTTTTCTCTTTAGAGTCTTGTACTTCTACCATGGAAGTTACAAAAGTTTTAAAACTCATTTCTGAGGTCCCTCTACCTTTTTCACAACAGTCCTCTTACCTCTCATATCTAGTTCTTTGAAGACAGGTTTGTGACTTCTGTGTTGTTCTGTGTATGAAGCCTAATAATTTATTTTAGGTATGCTAAAAAAAAAACACTAATCAGTCTACCACATGTGTTTATTTAATGTTTTGCATTTTTCCTAGGCAGCAAAATTGGCGAACTATGCCAAATATCAGCGACTATGTGATGGAACCTTCATACTGTTTTCTGTGGTGTTTATTGTCACCCGTTTGGGGATTTATCCTGTCTGGTAAGTATTGGCAAAGATTCTTGAGTTATTGAGGGTCCACTATGCCCAACTGCATATAAGGATCCATAGGGACCCTTGGAGTCAGGAGTAGTAACACATGGGATAAGAAGACTGCATCAGAAAGGGCTGGGTATTAGGATTTGGGGACTTGTTAGGGCCCAGCAGTATCACTAAGGTAAAGTTAAAGGTTCCCCTTGACATTTTTTAGTCAGTCGTATTCGACTCTAAGGCGTGGTGCTCATCCCCGTTTCCAAGCTATAGAGCCAGCATTTGTCCGAAGACAGTTTCCGTTGTCATGTGGCCAGCGCGGCTATACATGGAACACTGTTTCCCTTCCCACTGAGATGGTACCTATTTATCTACTTGCATTTACATGCTTTCGAACTGCTAGGTTGGCGAGGAGCTGGGACAAAGCGACGGGAGCTCACTCTGTCTCGTGGATTCGATCTTACGACTGCTGGCCTTCTGACCCTGCAGCACACAAAGGCTTCTGCAGTTTAGCCCACAGCGCCACCACGTCCCATAGTATCACTAAGGAGACCCCAAAAGCTCCAGTTTCTGGTATCTCCTTCACCATTCCATGCAGCAAAATGCTTAAGGGTGATTCTGAGCTAGAGTCAGATCTCTTCGGTATTGTTTAGTAACATAGTTGCTTGGGCTTAAGAGATGAGGGTGGCCTAAGGCTCCTTGTCTCTGTAGTCATAAAAGCATGCAATGCTGCATGGTTGCCTCCTCTGTGACTGCCCAGAGACCTTTGGGTAGAGTGGGTGGCATATAAGTTAAATAAATAAATAAATGAGTCTCCGTGTTTCATGTATTTTATGTGTAAGTACAGGTGCATGTAGAATTTTCTCCTGATGATTGTGTCTGACCGTCCTTTGGATCGGGTGGAGTTGAATGTTGTTTGGCTAATTGAACTAACATTTTGTTTCGTTTTATTTTATTTTCCTGGTTTGTTTTTGTTCATCTTGTTTTATTTTTTAGTACTATCAAACATGGTTTGTTTTGAAGACTGTTATATATCTTTCTGATACATTTCTGAAAGGGAATCACTGCAAAGCATTCCCTAGACTGATTTTCTGCACTGTTTTATGGGCCATTTCAGGCTTACAGAACCTGTTCAGAAAGCCTTATGAGTGTTTCCCCTTTTCACCACCATCACTGTCCCTCCATAGATTGGCATGGCTAGTGGGTGCCCCAATCCTGGCAGCCAGGATTCATCATGCTGCAGGGAAGCCAACAGCCATAGTTAAAAAAGAATACAGTGGGTTTGGGTAAAAGCACTGATCCCAGTGCTCCTACACTTCACTGCAAGGAAATCCAGTGCCTTCCTGACAGCATAGCACATAAGGAAGCCCATGGTATTGCTCACAATAGGTATTATTTATTTACGTATTTAAGTATTTATATCCTGCCTTTCTCCCAACGTGGATTGCAATATTAAAAACAGTACCTCCCAAGCAGCCAATCACTGAGAAGAAGTTTGCCTGAAGAGAACAGTCTTTGCTTGCCTGTGGAAGGATAGCAAAGAGGAGGCCAGGCTAACCTCCAATGGGAAGTTGTTCCACAGCTTGGGAGCAGCAACAGAGAAGGCCCTCTCCTGTGTTCTTACTAAATGTATCTGTAAGAGTTACTGGATAGAGAGAAAGGCTTCCTCTGATGATTTTAAAATGCAGACAGGCTTATAAATTGAAATGCTGTCTTTCAAGTAGCTTGGAACCAAGTCATTTAGGGCTTTGTAAGTAAAAATTAGCACTTTGAATTGTGCCGGGAAACGGACTGGCAGCCAGTGGAACTGTTGTAACAAGAGAGTTATGTGATTCCTGTAAACGGTCCCAATTGACAATCTGGCTGTGGCATTCTGGATCTGTTAAAGTGCCCAAACACTTTCCAAATGGAGCCCCATGTAAAACAAGCTGCAGTAATCCACACTGGATGTAACTAAGGCATGTGTCACTATGGCCAGGTCAGACCTCTCTCCAGGAACAGGTGCAGTTGGCACACTGGTTTTAACTGTGCAAATCCACTTCTGGCCACTGCTGAGACCTGGGCATTGAGACTCAAGGATAAGTCCAGGAGCACACCCAAGCTGAGAACTTGTGTTCTCAGGGGGAGTGTAACCCCATCCAGCACAGGTTCAAATCCTATTCCCAGATCTGCCCTTTAACTCATAAGAAGCATCTTTAGCTTGGTATAAAATCCTTAGGCCCATAACTCCATGATGCAGTTTTGATTTGTGCTGTAGAGTGCAACTTTAGTATGCAGAAGTGTGTGTTTGGTAGATTAAAATTGAGAAGTATAAGTATTATTGCCACTAGATCATTTGGATGTTGAAATACATATAATGGGGAAAATCCTGTTTGTGAAGGTGTAATGTAAAGTTATGCCTGCATAACTGTGCCTGGTGTTACGCTTGGGAACAGGGACTTGTGCAATTAGATTACACAGTTGGTTGCCCTATTTCTGTTGTGGCAATTTCACAGTGTACTAGCAGAAGTGCTTTGTGGACAGGAATTGGTTCTATTATAGCTACTATGGGCACAACACTGAGGATTTTGCCCACTGTGCCTATAGGAGATGAGCTTGCCCTTGCCTGTAGTAGAAAATTATTTTGATCTTCTAGTAAATTCAGTTGTCTCACAAGGTTTTTCCTCCTACAGTAGAGCAGAATCATAAGAATACAGTATATGCTTTATATGCTTAAGCTTGATCCACATCCTCCCAAGTAGAGGCAGGAAAGACCCCATCTCAAACCGTGCAAAGCTGCTGTCCATCATTGTACAGTAGGCAATATTGAACTCAGTGGACTAGTGATCTGACTCAGTAGAAGGCAGTTTCAAAAGCTCAGTTCTTTAATGTACCTTGCACATTGTATGGAGTAGGAGCATGTTTGCTGGCTTTCTTCTTTCTGTGTTCTGGGTCTCTTCTACTTCCTTAGGAAAGTTCTCCTTATGAAGACCCACCAAATATCATTGAAGGATTTTTCTTGATACTGAGCTACATCCTAATTTTGGGAAACAAACGATCAGTTTCCTCATGCTATCTTTCTGCCTTTGTAATATTTAGTTATGATTGTAGGGTTCTCCAACTAATAAAGGATTCCAGAGTAACAGCTGCTGTGAGGTGACATCTTGCTTTGGTTTGTTGTACACCAGTGTTTGCAAGTAAATCTTCTTACTGCTGATTCCAGTGATCATGATTAGGCCATGGTAATCTGCACATAAGAGTAACAGCTGCTGTGAGGTGACATCTTGCTTTGGTTTGTTGTACACCAGTGTTTGCAAGTAAATCTTCTTACTGCTGATTCCAGTGATCATGATTAGGCCATGGTAATCTGCACATATTGTTGCCATATCGCTCAGCAAGCCTTTGCTGTTTGGTAGGAGAACGAGTGAATCTTTAATGCAGTTTCCACTGGCTTTATTGTAATTCCCTGGTTTCCTAGGGGAGCCTGTTAATCTCAGGGAAGTGACTTTGCTATTTCGCTGGGTAGGTAATGCCTACTGTGCTTCTTAAATTCCATGCTCTTGACTCATTATAAATATTTTCTTTAGTGGAAATCTTCTTTCCACCAGAAGATTCCTCCTGTGATGCTGAAGAAGCAGAGTTGATTAGTGAAAACCAGTGGGAGGGTGGCAAGCTTTCTTAGTCTGTAGCAACAAAAGGCTTCAATTTCCTTAGGGTTTTTTTTCTCTTGAACTCCCACCACCACCAAAACTTTTAGAAAAATTTTCTTGTTGTGCAATTTCAGGTTTATTGTATCTCTGTCAAATTACAATGAGGTGTAACACATTTTCTAACTTAACCAGTGTGAAATTTGCCAAAGCCATAAAGAAACATTCAGAGAAAACTCTTTTTACACTATCTGTGAATTGAGTGAGCACTTGTACTGTTGTGTCCATCAGACCAGAGCCAGGCAGCTTGGTTATCTAGTCTATTAAATTGAGATTACAAGAAATTTCAAAACAGCCACTATAACAAGCTTTCTTCTTTGTCTTACAGGATACTGAATACAACTTTGTTTGAAAGTTGGGATATTATTGGCCCTTATCCATCATGGTGGCTATTTAATGGGCTTCTTTTAATTTTACAAATTCTCCATGTTTCCTGGTCCTATTTCATTATTCGCATTGCCTACAAGGCCCTGGCACGAGGAAAGGTATGAATAACTGGCCAAGTTTCTTTCTCTTTATTTCCTTTTTAATTTTCTATAGAGTGTTGCAAGCACCAGTGTCAGGGTCTAATATTCTGCATGGGTGGAGTGTTTGAATAATTAAGTGTGTGTGTATAAGAACTGCAGCACTGAAAATGTACATTGTGCTTAAAAAGTGAGGTTTGATTAGTAGTGTACTAAAGGTCATTACAGGACAATCAGCCAGCTCTCAAAACAAAGCCATCCTCGTAATCAGTGACTGTCTTACTTAGCAAGAGTAAGAATAATAGGAAAACCAAATAAGATGTTGCAGACATACTGCATAGCTTACTGAATGAGTCACATACATGCTAGATTCCTGACATGGCAGATCACACAACTGAGATGCAGTTATATTGGAGGACTGCCATAAAAGTAAGGTCAATGTAAAATAACATACACTTTGCAAAGCAAGTGAATTTCTACTTTAGTAACCTCTTACCAACCTGCAGCTTGAGCATAGGGGTATAAACGTTGATAGTAAAAGCAAACCAGCATAAGAAGATATAAATATACACAGTGAAATAGTGAGCCAGAAAGCAGGAATCAATACACAGTAAGAACCATGTAACATGCACCATGTAACATGAAGCCGGAAAGGCAACATGTAGGGCAGAGACAGAAGAGACATAGAGATTTTCTTACATAAAACCAGGCAGGTTGAATATGGGTGGATAAATGCAATTCTATGTGTGTAATACGCAAAAAGGCTAAGTAATATATTTAATGCATTTTTAAGGACATTGATAATTTTAAGAGATGTAATTTCTGGTTGTTGTTTTTAAAACTTATTAAGGGTGCAATCATTTTTAGAATGTAGTTAAAGCATAATCCTTGATCTTTTTTATTCTTAAAGTATATTTCTGATATACCTTTTGTGCTTCTGCATTTTGGATTGAAACATGATTTATGTAATTCTGATAGGAACATAATAACTTACACATTTTTATATTTTGAAGCACAACTTAAGTATATTGCCTGCAGCCTAAGTATAGTTTTCATATATTTTAAGTATGTATACTTACAGGGTTTTTTGATAGGTGGTAAGAATAGATTTTTATAACTGAAGAAATTTCTCTGTAACATATCAAAAGTTACATATTTTAGGAATATATTTCATGTACATGGAACAAAAAAACCAATTTAGATTAATAAAGCTTGTAGAATTAGGCAAGCTGATGTTGCCTGGAATTAATTTTCTATATAGGAAAAAGTAGAAGGAATAAGATGTGACTCTCTGGATAAGGATTTACTTCACTCTGAATGAAACTCTGATTTATTCTCATCCTCTAAAAGTGATGAAATATTTAAACAGTGAAATAACCTATACCCAGATGAATTTTGATATGATTAATAAGGTTATCTGAGCTCACACTGAAATTAACCCTTTCAGGTAGAAATGTTAGATATCAAGAACCTCATAGACTGAAACTACCAAAGAGTGTTGCAATGTTTTTGTAGTGTTCTGAAGTCTTTGTTTCAGTGTCATACATTTGACCTTGACATCAGTGATTGTAAAGAAAACTGGCTTCTTGTGATAGTTGTTACCTGATCTTGTATCGATCCACTAAAATTAAGGTTCTGTAGCTGCAATATATTGTGAAAATAAAAAATCAATTTTGCATAGTCAGAATTTAACATTTATTGCAAGGCTTTGGATGGGCAAGGAAGAAAAAGAAGGACTGAAAATCAGCATTAATGGGCTGCAAATGTGGGAGAGGAAGACGGCTTTCTGTGGTGCTTTGGAACACTAATCGATAACTAAAAAGCCCTTCCTATTTACTCTTTTGAACCATCCCTGGGTTGTATGTATTTAACCAGATTGCTTGGGTGTTTTACTCACACTAACGATGGAGTAGAGGGTAGATTTTATATTTTTCCCCTTCCAGTTGCCTCAGAGCATGTTGCCTCTGGAGTGCACTGTCTGCAGGACAACACCAGGCTCATGTCTGACTGAAGGAGCAAGCACTTTAGATTTTGGCACCTGTGTGATGCTTTAGTGGACTTGCCAGATAAACATGCTGCAGGTAATAGTGCTGGACAAGTCATTTATTGAGGAACTTCTTTTTAAAGGAGAGTTTGGCAAAAAGGTGTCACCAACACAAATGTAGCAAAGTGTAACTCTACCTACAGCAATAATATTAAATAATGTTTCTTTTTCACCCTAGAGAACATTAGTGTTACTCATTAGTGGTTATGCTGGTTTGGGATTTCTAGGATTTGTAGTACAAGAAAATACCTTTTCTAAAGCTCGGATGATTAAATAAGTAAAGCCTTACACTATAATATGCATCTTCTCTCCGCCCCCCTGCCCCCTGTGTCTATGTGCGGCAAAGGAATTCTCCTACTGCCACTTCTTTTTCCTACTGCCAGTTCTTGTGAAATAACAAGGAAGGATAGATTTCTTTTAAAATTCAGTGACTGAAATTGTGGGTGGAAGACCTTCAGACCAAGATCCCAGGGCATGCTGGTGACATCCCACTCTAGCTCTCCTTTCCCTTGGATCTAGAAGTCTTTTGGTTGATGTTTATGATCTGTGGAGAGTAAGACCAAACAAGGGTTTGAAGTTGCTTCAGTGGCCACTTTCAGGCTCTGCTCACTGCTGAGAGAAGCTAGGTGGGTTTTCTCTCTGCTGTCCTTCTGCTGACATGCGAAGGCAAACTTTCAGCAGTTCGTAGTTTCCAACCCCTAGATTTGTGCTAATGTGCCGGTTTACTTTCTTTTTTAAGGCAAACTACATTTGGTATTTTAATTTAGAGATTCTCAAGTGTTTTGATTTCAATGTGGTTTTAATAATATGGGTCTAATTTTGCTTTAATGTTTGTAACTTCATTGTATTTTAATTCATTCATGCTTAAACTATGTTTTAAGCTACAGTGGTGCCTTGCTAGACGATGTTAATCCATTCCATTGAAATCGTTCTCTTGTGAAAACATTGTCTAGCGAAAAGCGTTTCCCCATTGGAATGCATTGAAACCCGTTTAATGCGTTCCAATGGGGGGGAATAGTCATTGTCCAGCGAAATCGCCCATAGGGAAGCCATTTTGCGAAGCGCCAATCAGCTGTTTAAATCGCTGTCTTGCGAAGCATCGGTCCCGAAAACACCAGTTTTGCGAAGATCGCCCATAGGGAAGCCATCTTGCAAAGCCCCTGGTCAGCTGTAAAAATCGTTGTCTTGCAAAAAAAAAAAACGGTCTGCGAAGCATGGACCAAATCACCGTCCAGTGAAATCCCCCATAGGAAAAACCTTTTTCCGAATTGCTATAGCGATCGCAAAAAGTCAACGTCTAGCGAAACGTTTTGCAGGGTAATCGTCTTGCAAGGTACCACTGTACTTGGGTCCCAGTTCTTGGAGAAATGTAGTATATAAACAAATAGAATGAAACTCAAGAAATTCTTAAGTTTTCATTTATTCATTTGAACTGTGTCTTGCACAATATCTCAAGACAGTCTAGTTTTTTATGTGTGACCTTTTTTGCTAGCTGTAGTGACTGATCTGCAGATTGCTGCAATGGCCAGAATTGTACTGGCACCCTTCTAGTATCCACCCATTTTACATCCAAGAAGCAAGGAGAGATAAAATTTCTGGTGAAAGCCCTAGGAGATCTTGTTGGTGAACTCATCTGCTTTGAGGCCCATATCTGCTGTTTTTTCTAGATAAAGTTCAAATGGCCCAACCTCCCTGATATACTGAGATTCACATTTGAGTCACCTGTAACATAGATGGAAGCTGCTCTTTTAAGAAACACTGACAACCAGTCTTTTAAGAGCACTTTATTCTCTTGAGAGCATTTGAACCTCTTTTTAAAAAAAATGAAGACAGGTTAGTGTGAGAAGGTAGACCTAGCTAAGTGGAGATTTCTGTTTATCCTGAGGTAGTTGTGTGGAGGGTTTGGGTGGAGAAGCAGAGCTGTCAATAAACCTAGAAGAGAAATGAAGTTTACCTCATTTTACAGAATTGTTTGTGAAAACATGAATCTTCTCCCCTCCCCCTGAAAAAAGGAATCTAAGCAATTCAGGTTAATTATTTGAGTCATCATTTTAGAATTTTATGTTTACAGAAATAAACAATTCTGTAGGAATAGTGCACATTTATTTTTCAAAAAAGCCCTTTTTACTAATGATGATTAGGTATGATTAGGATTCTTTCTGCATATTCAAATAACCCTCATTTAGTCTCAGAATTGCAGTTTGGATACTTGCTCCTTTTCCATTCCCTCCTTTGGTTTCATGCTTGTAATTTAAGAGCATGTGTTTGTCATTAGATCATGTATCTTTCAAATGGCTACAGCTGAATTCCAAATTGGAGTATCTTGTAGGAAGTCTGTATCTTTCTCCTCTCCTTGCTTTTCTCTCCTGATCAGGTAACCTAGGCAGGGAAGAACATTCTCCTCTGTATTCTCCATTCTCTTTCACTCCCTTTCTCTGGCCACCCTGAAGCTGGATCTCTTCCTGTATGTAAGTGTAATCTGTGCTACTGCTGCCTGCAGAGGGAAGGGGACGGGCCTATGTCTTGCATGTGAACGCAGTAATACTAAAGTGCATTGAAAGCCGTTATGCCCAAGCAAGCTGTACTTTGAAAGTTTCTTTTAAACTGTTGCTACTTAATCTTGAAAGTTGCTCACAAGAAAGGCAAAGCATCAACATTTAACTAGGTAGCTATGAACTTTCACACTTTCTTACTTGTAGAAAAAAACCTACTGTGATCCTTATGTTGGTATTTTGATTTCATATTTTCATACGCAGAGGTATACTGCAAAAAGTAGCACTATCTGGACACATCAGGTGACCACAGTTAGTTCAATTTGGTTTAAATGTTGAATAAAATCACACATACAGCTTTGGAGACTAGTTAATTCTTCACTTGCTGAAATAAGAACATCTTTATTTGACTCTGAGAATGACATGGGGGATGTATGTTAAGCAGATGGTGCACAAGACCCTTGGTTACTCCTGCTGAGAGTCCA